TTATTAGCAATGTTCTTCCGACGTCTGATTTCTTTTTAAAAAATGCGTTTCTAAAGTGCATAAACTTTTAGGATTGACTGTATAGCCAATACATCCTTAAACTCCCGTGATTACGAGATTTAGCGATTTGTCGGGATTTATTGTCGCGAAAGAAATCACGCAGATTCTCCTCCTTCCTCTTCTACGATATCTTAGCGCCTGCTTTAGCTTTTTGGGATGCGTTTGAGATTCGCCTGGTCGGCGCGTAAATGCTAGTAACCTTAGGAATTACGAGTGCAACGAGGACAAAGTCGACTCGCCTGTTGTTCGAACTTAGGGATACGCCGCGGTACCGTAGCGTTTAGCAGTCAGCCGGACTTGGAGCCAGGCGGTCCCAGGAGGAGTCTCGCCGACATTTACAAGCTTCATCGGCGCAGGGAGACGGAAGGACCGAACCGACTAGGAGTTTTCCAACGACTCTTCAGTCTCTTCGGCAGCCGACCCAGCAGCAGGAAAACTTCCACCGCATCGTTCACGGGTAAGCGCAACGACGTATTTATGATAGAAGTGACGTTATTCTTCTGCATGGTACACATTTGTAAAATTGCGATTAGTAATGCGAGTTGATTCGAATCGTTGAAAGTTTAATATCGAAAGGCGAACGCGAACGTCGTATTAATTACTGAGGGAGGTAGGTGTTTTAGGAACCACCGGGACGAAAGTTGAAAGTAAGAATGAAACGGATAAATGAAATTGGAACAACCGTTGCACGGTATCGTTTATTTATGGAACAAGTTCGTACGGATTTTTAAAATATCTCTTCCGTACTGAATTTTGCTCTTATAAATGAAGTAATTACCGTTTTGCGGTCCCAAGATGAAACTTTTAAATAAAACCCACTGCGCGTCCTGTTTTGTCAATATCTAATCAATTTGTTAATTATACTTATGAAAAAACCGCATAAGCTTCTTCCGATACCTAATACCTGCACACGGATCGGTGAAATCTTCACAACAATAGTTGATCGAACGAAACTCAGACGAGTATTATACTCGGCGATGAGCCGTATCGTAATCCTGCAGGAGTAGCGTCAGCGCTTCGGGTTCACATGGGCTACATCGCCGGGCTGGTACCAGGCACGAAGGCTGCATCCACCTGTCAAGTCGATGCCCAAGGCGCTCGTTCGCCTCATCCCCGATGCGGGTCAGGACCAATAATTAGTATTACCAGCGAGGAAGATCGCAGGCTGAGCCTGGGGTTACGACGCAAAGAGAGCAGCGAGCCCAGAGTCAATTTCAGCTTACCGCTCAGTAAGCGATTCCGCGTTTCATTTTACAGCCGGTGTACAAAGTATTCGTACACTATTTAAGACAGAATATGTCACGATATCGTTGTCTCTTTTTTCTGCAATTACACGTGCGATTTTAAGTCAGTGAGTAGAAACTCTAAATTAAACGAATTTCGGGACATTCGTTATAACTTTTCGGACTCGAAAGGAAGGTGTCTGAATACTTTCTATGCCTACTATACGTGTACAGCGTTATCCAACGCGCGATTCCTACCCCGCTAATTACGACAATTAATACAACGTGGTTTCTTCGCAGAAGCTAGCAGCAGCCAAACATCGTCGCGAGAGAAAATCCGTGGATCGCCGCGGTTTCCTCATCGAATAGTACCAGCGAACAGTTTGAACGCGATCGCGGCGTGTTCTTCCATCTCGCGGTCCCATCATCGGTGGCACTCGATGGAAGACGCGAGGAAACCAAAGATTCCCCAGACTCCACGTGGATCCTCGTGCAGTCCTAGTAGCTGCGACGCGTGGACCACTCGCGAGCTCGGGATCCCATTGTCCGAACTGGGAAAGCTGGACACTGGAAGTAAAAATGTTCCGGAATCCCTGCCTTTAACCGTAATGGCAGAGACGAATGCGAATTCGGAGGACGCGAGATTCGGAGGAAGCAGCAGCGGCAGTAGTTTCAAAAGTCCATTGCGAGAGAACGATGAGCGCGGCGACGCGAGTCCCGCGGAATCGGAGTTGAAAATCACTCGGTCTGCGTCCTCTTCGTCCTCGTCGCCTACTAACACCGGGGCGTCGAGCGCCAAGAACGACGGATCCTCCTGTAAAAACGAGTTCCGTTCGGAAACCAAACAAGTGGAGGCCAGTGCCGACTTCATCGAGGAAAAGTCGACACATCCTCAGCCCTTGAGTCCCGTGATTTGCCATACGAATTTGGATAATCCCGAAGAGACGGACAATCGTACAAACTCATCGAGCGAAGACGAGAAGAGAACTGCCGCGTAGAGTATAATAATAAGCTGTGGAAAAAACGAATTATTCCTGTCACGATATTCTTCCCTACCGTGTATTCTTATACCGTGTAATCGACCCTTCGCGCATACGTTCTTTGGATATCGTACACGACATGCATCCCACGCGTCAGAATCAACTGAAATTTTTCAGAGGAAGGGCAACAGGTAGGATCGAATTTATAACTGTGAGAATTTTATTTCTATTCCGTCTTATTTCATTGCTTCAGAACATCTAAAAACGAAAATGTTCCCTCTCTGTCGGCGGACATCCCATCTCCTCTGTTGGCACTCGAGTCGTTTTATATAGCTTGACGGTGTTATTTAAGTGTTGGTCCGAGGGTCGCGAACCGTAGTAATCGTGCCAAAAACAAATCTACCGGGGCCCGTAAAAGTATACAGCTGATCGACTTTATGGGATTACGGAGGGACCAAAATATAATGATACACGCATCTTCTCTTTATCGTTCGAAATTGCTGTTACCCCGTTGCACCCTTCATCCAATGATCCTAGTTTCATCAGTTCCGATACTGGTTCGTAAGAATTACGTAACTCAAACTGTTCAACAAAATCGTCGAAGGCAAGCTGCGAGTACTCTTACAGGTCCAACGTTTAAAGTGTTCAGTGTCCCGAACCCTCCTTTAAGTACCTGCACTCGATGTAACGAATAAAAAAAAAAATACTTCGCAAAAACCACGAGAATTCTTGGTTTCTTCCATAAATTTTAAAGAGCGATGTACCGAGATGTTTTAACGTCGGCGCGTATAAGTGCGTAGGCGACGAAGAAACTGGCGAGAATACACAGTGACTCCGTTAGTATTTGGACACACTTAGAACTTGAATAACATTTTTAATATTGAATTGAGAAAATTAAGTTGTTTGAATAACATTAAAAAGGTTACTTGGTCTTGAAATGCGTCCGAACATTAATAGGAGTCACTATACGTGGAAGGTGACGAGGTTCGGCAAACGAGTGTACGAGTTCTAGTCAAGCCGCAACACCTCGTCACCTTTTATTCACCTCGAGTATCTCAACGCGACTAACTCTTACCGCTATAAGCAATAATCCTCGTCGGTGCAATTAAAAATGGATAAATGTGTAATAAAGATATATTCTACCTACTCATCACGATTGACGTCATTTCTGTTTCATAGAAGATAGGTATGGGTGCAGTTCGAAAGTAAATGAGAATATTTTTATTTCCGTCTATTTTCAGATATAACGATGTATGTATACGAATCAGTAGAGTACAAAAAGTTGTATTTCATTTTAAAACAGAGCAATTATTTACAATGTTGCGATGAAAATTGCACGCTCTCGTAGCTTAGGAGAGCTAGGAACGCTCGCGTACTATCGAGTACGAGGTTTTCGATCAACTGCTAGGATGCTGGAGGTCACTTGCGCGAGTCTAAGGGAATACATTTTTACGACCTAGCACGGTGTACATGATTAATGAATTAACGAACAGAAGGTCTGACAAATAAATTATAAATGTATCTATAATTAACTGTATACATTTACAAGATTACTGCGTTTCACGTTACCTAAGAAAATTAATGCACTGTATTCACTTTACAGCGCGTACATACACTGTCGTATGATCGAGAATATACGATTGACAAAATGTTGCCCCGATCTACAAAATAGAAGATCACTGTTCTGAAAATCTGAACAACGACAGTATAATCGGTAACTTTTGCTATACTTCAAGTAGAAAAAGAAGTAGAGGCAAGAAGATTAAGCATGTCGATAACGTAAAATCACAGATTTCTTCGTATTTAAAGATGGAAGTTATCAATTATAAACTATCTTTCATCGATTCCAGCTCTGAAAGCCGTGTCTCCGTCAGCTATATGGTTGCCTGTGAAACGATGAGAAATCTAAATCAATTTATATCAATGAAAATCTCCGACACAGAACGTAGGAAAAATAACCAGTTGTACACAAACGAGCTGTATCTCGCATTCGTTGTTAAGACGAAAAGTTACGTTTAGACCAAGCGAGTGTGAATTAAACACTTACAGCGATCCTGTCCAGGATAGTTTCTGCCGGATTGTCCTTCCGAGTTGCTGCTTCCACCGTACTCGTTTTAGTCGGCACCTGTTTCTCTTCCTCCGCCTCCTCTTCGTCCTCGGTTTTCTTCTCCGGACTCTTCATAGCGTTTTGCGCTTCTATCCTTTTCCGGTTCAAGAACGCCATGCCGTGAACTCTCAAATGCTTGTCCACCGCCGCTTTGTCCTCGAAAACGGCCATACAGACATGGCACTGATTCGCCTCGATAGACTTGCCACCGGATTCGAGATTGTCGACATCCTCGGGAGCGTAGGAGGTATTTTGCGCCATGTAAGTAATCGGGTCTTCTATCCCGTGGAACGCTTTCAGATGCATTTGCAAACTGGACGCGACTACAAAATTGTCGCCGCATTCCAAACACACCAAGTATCGACCTCTGATCCTATGATTCGAAGCGATATGCTCCCTGAGATTCGCCATGTCCGAACAGCTTTGGTCGCACTTTTTGCATCTGAAATTACCCTCGCCGTCTTTGGCAGTCACTTGCTTCACGCACAGTCCGACGCCCGAGAAATTACCGTTCTTCCCGTCGCTGTACTTCTTCGGGGTCCATCTCCGCCTCCGTTTCGCGGCTGGCACGTTAATATATTCTGTCTTGCGTCTTTTGTTGCACAAAAGATCCTTGTACCCGCCGTTGATGAACTTGTACGACATTCGTAGTAAGCTCACAGACAGCGTCAACAGTATGTAGTCCTGCGAATGCTTGCTACGAAAATGACGATTCACGATAGATTTCGATGTGTTCAGAGACTCCCCGCATAAATGGCACGAGAAATTGTAAATCTCGTCGGAATCGGTAGGACCGTTGAGCGCGATTCGTTGAGGAAGATCGTACTTCGTTTTATAACTGCGCGCTTTCGTCAGCGTCTGTCCAAGTTTCTTCGGTTTATCCGCTTCAGCCGCGTGTACAGGGATTCTGGTGAGCGGCGGAGGTTTCGCAAGTGATTGACGTTTTACTCGAACGTCGCTCGAAGCGTCATCCGATACCGTCGTTTTTGTCATCTCGGTCTTGTCACACGATTCTTCGTCCTGATCTTTTTCAATGTTCAACGACGACAACACTGCTTGAAGCGATTCGATGTTCGACGGATCCGAACTGACTCTCGCTTTGTCCTTACGCGCGTCATCAATCTCGTCGGATTCTTCTTCTATTCCCATCAGTCTCTCGCTCTCGGTCTGTTCAGTTTCCTCGCTCTCCGACGACTTTGTACGTCTCTCTTCCATTCCATTTTCTCCATAGCTGGGACGGTTCATGGTTAAACTAGCCAATGATTTAACGTCGAGTATTTTCGGCCAACTACTCGACCTGAACGAAGAAGAAGACGACGTATCATCAGTTTGCTGCGAAAACTGTGCAGCCGTCGCGTAGTCCTCGGGTCCGTCGGCTCCGCGCTCGAACACTTCAGACGTGATGGTTCTAGCGCTTACGATTCTCGGCACGACGGTCCCGTCGTTTCCGCAGAAATTCGCGTTCATGAATTTATTCAACTGCGGATTATCTGCTCGCAACAACGAGTGCAAGAAACGGGAACTTATCAGCTCCTGCAGGCGTGCCTCGTGCGTACTCTGCAGATGCGATATGATTCGCTGCGCCTCTACGTGGATGAACGTGCAGAACGGGCATTTGAACCATATTAAAACTTGTACAGCCGAGTGTTTCTCCATGTGCGACATGTAATCCTCGCAACGGACGATACATCGGCCGAGTTTGCAGAGCACGAGCCTTATCGGCTGCTTCTGAGCGTCAGCCGCATCGGAATGCTTGTCTTCGTAGTGTCTCGCGTATTTGGAATACGACGGCAAAACTATGTGGCATTTGTCACACGCTACTTTACTAGTACTGTGCATGAGAGCGAAGTGCCTGGCGACGGATTCCATGTCCTGGAAACCGTCCACTTCGCACACTTTGCAACCGAGGACGCGTTTCTTCAAAGTATGGAAGCAAGTAGTCCACGTGTGGACTTCTAACGATCTGTAGGTGGTGAACTTGCGGTAACAATCGGGACACAAAAACGGTTTTTCTTTGTCGTGAAAAGTTTGATGGGCTACGAAACGTGTCGAATTACCCTGGTAAGTGTCACATTTGTGACACACGTGCCTGTAGCAAGAACAGTAAACGTCGTTCGTCGCAGGTCTCGAAAATGCAGGTATATAATTCTTGGGCTTCCTAATTTTATTACATCCTTTGCAAATCGGTTTCTCGTCCGCACGTTTATACTCGGATTCCCAATCGTACGACATTACGTCCTCTTCGTCCGTGTTGCTGTTAGAATCCTTTACACTTTTTTCGATACAATGTTTCAGCACCGTTTGCAAGATGAGGACGGCCTTCAAATTTTCATTGATCACGCTCTCGGTTACGAAACTCATCACCCTCGATATTTCTTCGCTGATCTCTTGCAAGTGATCGGACCGTTTCTTCAGCTCGGAACGGGGAAGATGAAAGAATTCGTTCAGCATTTCCTCCCTGCATCTAGTTATCATTGAAAACGTGTCGACGATCGTGAAAATTGGCTTCTGTTTCAAAAATTTCACGTCGAGATACAATTCTTGATCGTTCCCCTTGTAAAACAGCAAACTCTCAGACGTGTTGTTTGCATCATCGGCAGCGTTGTTCTGTTGTATCGTCGGCAGCGTGTCAATTTTTTGAAAGACTTTCACGGACGAAGACTGCTTCGACTGGACGTCGCAGCTAGAACTGCTAGACAATTCTGACGGCGATGGTGACGGCGTTAAAGGTGTAATAACATCACCTTGAAACGAACTAGATTTCTCTTTATTCGATGTATTCTCTATTTCGGGGGAATTTAAAGGTATCAACGCCGGTGGAACGCCGTTCACCGATTTTAATTGCACCATTTTTTGTATAGTAGGAACCACCTTTGTCGGGTTCTTCGCAAAATTATATGCCTGATTGGTAACGTGTTTTTTCTCATTTCTACACGTAACTCTGTTCGCAGGAAAATGCGCCTTGTATTTCATCCCACCGGTTGTACTTTTCAAAACGCTTTCAGTTTTAGCTTCCGCGAGTTTCTCCTGATTCGTCTCTAATAATTTCTCTTCAGGTACTAAACGAACTGCCGATTCCGTACTATTAGAAACAGCGTTCTTCTCAATTGGTTGCGTGATAAGAACAATATTTTTATTATTGTTAATAATCGGCTTAACGTTCTTCGGACTTTTAATCGCCATTAGAGCTTGTCCAGACTTTACTACTGCTAACATATGTACATTTTGTTTGAACTTGTTTAGCTTAGGTTTACGCGCATCTGCTTTCGTTGCGTCCGCAGTGTCGGAATCTGTTTTCGACAAAGGATCTGCCGCGTTCGACGCGTCGTCGGAAAACGTTCGATCCGCCTTATCGTCTATATTGCTTTTTGCAACTACGTTAATTGGCGTTATACTTTTGTTACATTTATCTAACGGATTTCTCCACGTGTGTAACTCCTTGACATTGCGTTTAGGCGTGATTATTATGTTACCGTACGACATAGCAGCTGCCTTGGGCACAATCGAATTCGACTGTGTTTCATCATTTTCCAATTTCTTAGCGAGTGTACGCGAAGATTGAAGAAGAGAATTTGTAGCACCGTTTCCTCGTTTGTTACCGACTAACGGAATCTCAGGTTTGTCAGGTTTCTCAGGTTCGAGGTACTTGGGCGAAACTCCGCAGTCGACGAAAGCGACCTCATTCCCCGTGCAAGGGCTGTCCTCGTTCTCGACGAAACTTTCATAGGACACGGAAGTCGTATCGGCAGATGTGTTCATTTGGTCCACGGAATCGAAAGCATCCGTGTCAGAATCGATACTGTTATTGTTGTTAGACACGGAATGGGACAACTTTGAATTAAAAAATAGCTTATCTATCGGTATTTCCAACGGTTTAAAATAGAATCGGCCCTTGTAGCGTTTCACGATCGCAGCAACTGGATCATCGTCCTCCGCTTCGTTATTAGCCAATTTCCACCAGTTATCGAGGACGTTCTTGTCTTTCAACCAATCCATTATATGAATCTTCGATACGAACGTGTGCTCCATTAGCGCCTCGCATATTAAATCTATTTCGGGACTCCAGGCGTCCATGTTTGTCGGTAAAGGCATCAACATCAAATCGCCCATGTACACGTTTTGAGCTTTTAAATTTACATTGTGGGCTTTCAAATGCGCAAAGAATTGGCATTGATTATAAAACACTCTCACTGCTCCGTGCTTCTGATCTCTACGCAAGCCTTGATGTTTCAAATAAAACCGTTTCTCGTTGTCTGATTGCCTGCATCCCGAGCATAGTTCACCTTCCATAGAATTGTGTTTGCAAGTAGTCACGAAACAGTCATGACACCAATATCCTAGAATCCAACTCTTTCTCGCGATGTGATCTTCGAAACTGCCTCGGAAGTGAAAGCTAAGGGGGAAAAACAGTTTTATTAGTAGTTACATCCCTTCGCAAAATAACCTGAACTAATGCTAGTTTAACACGACAGTTTCGCGCTACGATCTATTATTTAATTTGCATTAATCTTCGAACATTTTGCCCACTGTTTACGAAACGCCCTCTATACAATCTTCTTGTAACTCCAATATTTTATAAGCAACCGTCATGAGCATGATTCCTCAGCATAGAGAAGAAAAATAAACACAGATAAGACTTGAAGCTGGCATGGAACGAGTACTTCCAACAATCGGTACCCTCAAGAATTGGTACCGATCGTGTATGTATCAGGAGAAAAATGTGGCCATGCATCCGTAGATTATTGTAACCAATGAAATTTACCAGTCTTGGCACTGTGTACACATGTACAAGTTCTCGCATTCTGGAAAACATTCCTTCACAGTCAGGGGTGGTGGTGGTGGCACGTAAGCATGTGCCTGAGATGATATAAAAACAGCATTTTTCACTGCTGCATAATATTTAACACCCCACCTGGTTTCAATCCTACGATTCCTTCGTAACCTTGGCATGGGACTTTTTAATTGATATATGCCACTGTTAGATGTATCCTGAAAAGAAAATTCATTAATGTGAGATACGTATCTTCAAATCCATTGGCCAGCAACAGAGTCGATTATCACAATAATTACGCAGTTAGTTACAAGAATACGCTCGTAGCATTCGAGTACTGTTATTTCTAGTTGTGCAGTAATAGGATGTCTTGTAGACTTATGCCCATTATCATAGGCTCTATCATGCCATATACACAATGGGTACAACGCAGCACTGTAGACTCAAAGGCCACTACAGAGGATTTGTTCACAAGTTCTGTCACTATGCCTCACCATTAATATTGCCTGCCATACAACTTATTTTCTACTTTGACCGCTTTGGCACAACTCGAGACATTGTTAATCAGAAGACCACCATATTCAGCCATGATATGTTTTGCTCTTGCCGTTTGGAGACGTCGATAAAACAGTATTCACAGGACTGCCGTCACGGCAGGCAAACAAAGCAAATATAATATTCAGATTGAATACTGAACGAAAAGGATGTTTGCGAGGGGCATTCCCGGCAGTCCTGTTCGATTAAAATGACTTGACGGACTTTACGTCTATATATAGACTTCTATAGAAGCACAGCCTTCTTTGTATTAAAGAATGCATTTTTTCTTCCTACTAGTTGTGCAATTTATTTCTTCATCTTTTTGCTCTTTCTTACAAACTTCTTTGCTTTGTTGTCTTTTTTTTTATAAATAAGGGTCCTTTCAGGTCCTTTACTCGGAGTTTCTCAGGTTCTCCACACGAGGCCTCCAAGATCAATTCGGAGTTGGCTCGTCGCTCCTATATACCCTGTATACCAATTACAATGTTTACACATGTTTTTATCAAATATATTATTCTTTAATGTTACATGAACAGTTTGAAACTTTAATACACAATGGCTCTCGCAAACATATCTGGTATTCCTGATAAGCATTGGCAGCCTCCTCTCGTTGCATTTGAAACGACGTGAGTACAATTTTATTAAGTGTACAAACCTATAGAACGTAATTATATATTACTAATTGTAACTATTTAATTTGTTTTATAATTGTATTTTCAATACAACTGTTGTGTACTTACTATAAAAATATTTTTACAGAATGGGAGAGATAATTATTGAATTATATTGGAAACATGTCCCGATTACCTGTAGAAATTTCGCCGAACTAACGAGACGAGGATACTACAATGGAACCAAATTTCACAGAATTATCAGAGACTTTATGATACAAGGTATATCTCAATTCGTAGCTTATGTGTTGGCTTTTATTCAAGTTTGTCTAATAGGAATTAGAACTTGGATAATGATTGTGAACAACTGCTTGATAGACCTTAACATGGATATCTAATTTTATTTTATATACGTTTATGATTATAGGCGGCGATCCCACGGGAACAGGAAAAGGAGGAGTGTCGATTTACGGAGAATGTTTCGATGACGAGATTCATGACGATTTAAAACACACGGGTATGTTTGTTAGTGAGTAGTGATGTCAAGTACAATATAGTCTCTGTTACATAAACACAAAAAGGGAAAGAATAATTATATACGTTATTTGTCACATTATTGAGGTCTTACGTCAGATCGCACGAAATCATATTGATTTTTATGACATTTATCATGCGTGTATGATACGCAAAGGCCCGTAAATCCAACCTGCAGCAATGTTTTATAATTTGGTATTATATATCATAATCTTCCCGACATTTAAAAAAAAAATTAATTTGTTAAGTCCGATGTTAAAATAGTTATTCAATTTTGAAAGGTATACAGTTATTTATGGACTTTACTGTTCGTGTCAATTTGGCCTTGACAGAAAATTACGTTTATCCGTGTTGAACAAATTTTAAACATAGGTGCCGGAGTAGTTTCGATGGCTAATTCTGGTCCAAATACCAACGGATCTCAGTTCTTCATAACCTTGGCTCCCACTCAGTGGTTGGATGGAAAACATACCATTTTAGGTAATTGTTCCACATTGTACTTGTTTATTCTAGTCTATAATCGTTTTAGTAATCTCCAACAAGGTCTGGTCTGTTGGTATAAAAAGTACTGAAGAATACTGTTTTTTGATGGGATACTTTCCTATATTTCTTCTTTTTCTTATATAGTGTGTGGTCGGACGTGTGGTAGAACCGAGCGAATACTACACATAAAAATGAATCGTAAAAATGAATGACACTCTTTCCTTTGACGCATTGTTTTTGGAGAAAATCGAACTTGAAAATTATATCCAGTGGGTATAAACTCTTGCCTCTAGATTTAGATATGCATTAACAAATTGACCTCCTCGGTTGTACCATCGCGGCCACAGCCGGTATATTGTCCCTCCTTGGCGTATAAAAATCTGAAACCTCTTTTCCGTGTGGTGAACAATCTTCAGTTTTAAATTCATCGCCTTCTTCCCTTGGCTAAACTAAAGGCAGATATCGTGTTACAAGTTCGCTACAATAATCTTTGATAGTCGCGAATAAATCGCGTTTAATTTTCCTTCAACAGGAAGAATTCACTCGGGTATGGCGATAGTGAAGAGAATTGGTTTGGTAGAAACGGACAAGAACGATAGACCTGTTGATGATATAAAAATCGTGAAAGGATCGATAAGGAATTCTTGAATAACGTGTAACATGTATAAGAATGAACAGATTGATAATAAACGTAAATTGTTGTCAGCCCTCGACCGTCGTTACTTTTTGTAGAAAGTGAGGGAGGAGAAACGGAAAAAACCCATCGGTGTACGGGTGATTGAAAGGGTAGTGCGTGCGCGAGCGTGGCAGTGAAAACCTTGCGAGATTGTAGAGAGAGAGAAAGAGAGAGTACGTCCAATTTGTATTTTATATATTATTGCAGTTGAATATACATCTATTATTAAAACAATTCCTTGCACCGGATCGCACAAAATTTCCAGTTCCCACAACATTTCTTCAAAGCCTTGTGACACTCTACTTTTCTTGTTTGTACAAACTAGAAACGAGCCGATTTGATTGATTTGAAAATTACGCATATCACAAAATCGTTTGTCAATTGAAATATTTATTGAAATCAAGTCCTGGTCTTGTACGTCCTCACTCTGTAGACTTACATACACGCGTATATGTGTACAAAATAAGCCAGAGTGATTACTTTAGGATGTCAGCGTTCCATTCTTTGTCTACACTATAATTTTTCCTTGTTATAAGAAAACGTTGCTATACGTACGTTGAATAATGAATTCGCGATTGTTACTCAACTGTCATTATGTTGTCGTGTGTTATTTGAGTACAATTCAGAAAGTGTCAAAGATAAGTTGCTCTAAACGATAGAATAGGGCAATTTTATACGGACGGAGGAGTAATTTTTTACAAATATCGATTTCGATAGACGAACGTGTTGCAAACGTTTCAGATTCGCATACGCTTTGTTTCAGTAAACGTTTTTGTACTCTACACGGCAAATTCAAACGGAGGAGAGCGCCAGTAAAAACGGGCAACGCTTATTTGCGCATTCATTCGAAAGTAATTCGAAATTAAATTCACGACACAAGTAATAAATTATATAATTGTATTTTATTACTCTCTACGGTTGTCGTTTCAATTGTTTAACGCTGAACTAAAAACTAGTGCGTACATGCATGTTGTTAATATCATTACATATATTTGTCCTATCCAGTGTTTCAGAGTACTAAAAGCCGCGGATCGAACATGTTCGATATTCGTTATTATAAACCGTTTAAAATGTATTTACAATTCTTGGGACAATATCCGACCCAATCGCGACTGATCGGCAACCTGAACGTAACCGTTATAATATGCTCCCTCGTGAGCCTCATGATCCCAGCGGTAAGCGGTAAATGTGACGCATACTAAACGAATACGAATCGTATTTACCCTCGTTCTCGTGGGGCAATACTTACGTGCACATAAAATCAAACGATACGGCACCATGTGTGTAATCAAAGTTTTCATTTCGATAGATTTCACAAACTTACATCTCGATAATTGAAAAGAATTTAGACGCTGCGATGGAAAGTATACCCATCTTGGTCACGATAATAGTTTGCGTAATAAAGTTGCTAAATCATAAGATTAACAAGGAAAAGGTATTTGTCTCCGAGATTTATGTCGCAAACACAGTAGGACTACCTTGTATATTCTACGTTATAGGAAGTCCTACTGCGTGTACACGAATTACGAAATACAGCTTTTATGCAGTTGTATGTGTTTCGCAGTACGACAATTTGTTCGATCTCGTAAACCAGGAATGGGAATCAGTGAAATCCAGTGAGAATCAAACTATTTACGTTCTCGACAGTGTTACCCGGCACGGACATGTACTGGGCGAAGCATACAGAAGTAATTTATGTATCATGTCCAGACTGAGGTTTTTTATTTTATGCAAAAATAACGTTTTCAGGATATCAATTTAAAAAATGATATTATCGAGTAGTACTGTCCTTTTAAATATCGTGGCATACATTTTGTTGTTTATACACTTTCTTTTTCACCGTGTACTCTCTCAGTCCGATGTATTTATCGAGTTATCTTGCCCGGACTTGGCCCGATTCTTTGCCAACTCAGTTTCGCCGGGTACTCGCACATCTCTACTATATAAATGCATAAAATCCGCAGACTATCGACAGAGTCGTTGCTCATTCTCAAGATCGTCTTGAGCATTTGCTCGAGTCTCTGTGTTTTCCTTGGGACAAGACAGGGACTGGAAACACGGAATAGACGAGGATAGCTCAAGACGATCTTAAGGATAAGCAGTCTGAATTACTGGCGTATAAGCACGATTACTTAAATTCTTCAGTTAAACATTTGTTTTCGCGCAACAATCAAAGGCATAAGTATACATAGATTCTGGATCGATAATTGATTTCTCGTTTAATTTTCAGCCACTCTGTTATTATTTATGATCTTCTTTCTGTTCGTTCCTCTGTTTCCCCCGCTTATGGATGTTATCCTGCCACTTAACGAGACTCGTCAACGACAACAAATGTTCAGATTAAATTATTTTGTGGACAAAGACGAATACTTTTATCCCATATATTTTCACTGTTCGTGGTGTTCGTTCCTAATAGTAATAATAACGGTTGCTATGGATTCGTTACGCATGGTCCTCGTTCATCATGCCTGCGGATTATTCGCTGTTTGCGGGTACATCTAACGATTGCGTTTACACGTACAAAGTGTACGAAAAACAACACGAACATGACGTAATGATGTATTAACAATAAGACACCTTTCGACAAAACAGATATCAGATTGGCAAAGTGACGGAGGGTAATTTAAGAAGAAGTGGAACTTTGTTTGAACAAATTAAAAAATGCGTGACCACACACAAGGAAGCCCTTCGGTCGGTAGCAAATAACTCTTAAGTCGATCGTATACAAAATGAACACGCAATTCGAAATAATTCTTCTCGTCGGGTTCGTCAGGTTTTACGGGATCATAGACAATAGCAGCCGTACGAGTTACTTCTTTATAATCTTGTTCAATATGATCGGTATCACCGTCACAGCTGTACAAGTGAGAATCGTTTGACGAATAAAGAAGAAAAAAAAAGACTCGCAGACAAATATTCCGATCGATATAAATGTACTGGTATTTTTTTATTAGATCGTACTATATCTACATAAGCCAGAGGAGGCTCTGAGAATCGCTGTGTTTCTAATAGCTCAGCAGTTTCATTTACTAATCGTCACTCTACCTGGACAAGTGCTCGTGGATTATAGTTCGGAACTGGCTACTGATGTGTACGTTGGAATTTCATTTGAAAACTCACGTGTCCCGAGTAATTTATCCGTATAATAAATTTTCATATTCGACCGTATAATTTATTCAACAGATATTGCTCGGCATGGTATCAACTGCCGACGAATATTCAAAAGATGCTTTATATAATGCAAATAAGGTCGGGCAAGGCTTGTAAACTGACGGCAGGAGGCTTGTACGAAATGAACATTGAAAATTTTGGAACGGTACGGTACTAATTATCCTACGCGTCTAATAACAACGCATCCGATTTCGATAATCGTTCTTCTCTTTATTTTATTCATTTTTCAGACATTCAAAACGTGCGCCTCGTATTTTACGATGCTTTTATCCCTCAAAGATTAGGTCGTATGCAAAAGTATTTATACACACGCCTGTTGTACTACAGTATACAAGTACGAGAACATTTTAATACTCATTCATATAATAAAAATATGTGTCTACTTTATGTGCATACGTAATATCTGACAATTTCTTTGACCCACTATAAATTACGATGCTCCAAGTATATTCAAGTAAAATCAGTTGGATTTAACATGTTTAATAATTCAATTTTGTTTTATGAACATGGACAGAACAGGCAAATGATTTATTCTCAAGTGCTTTTTCGAATTGTTTTACGGATTATTCACGCATTACGCCTAAAAATCTTGATGAAAACGGAAATTTTGTGTAGGATTTCATCCAGTCTACTGATAACAACTACAGTGACTCCTATTAACATTCCGACATATTTCAAAATGGAACTACTACATTTTAATATCTAATATTTCGTAAAATACTGAATTTTCTTACAGACGTTGGACGGCTCAGTCTAATACAGAACAGCATACGTAAATATATTTTATTTTCAGCCTCTTTTATTTTCTTCTTATCACTAAACTTAGACACATGAACCGGAAACCGAGAAGATGTCCATGAACGGACTTAAAATCAATTTCACTCTCACTTCCTCGCTCATATTATCTTTACGTGATTACTACGTACAGGTTTAAATTGCCTGCAGTGATTTTTTTTAGTTGTACATTAAACAGTTGGTCGATTCTTTTTTAAACAGATTATTTTAACATAGAAATTATACACACGTTATTAGACGGTCTAACGAATGTCGCATAACCTCTAAATCTCTAAAGAAAATACCGATGTTGTACACTGTATCCACGAACGTTCAATGAACGTAATCAAACATAATCTCACTCGCAATGTACTAACAGTAAAATAAAATAAAAGTGTAACGCAAGATGTTAGCTACGCATTTCTTTTCAAAGTAAGGTTTTATTATCTATGCAAATCTTAGCGATATTGATTTTATTAATACTTTATTCGGTTATTTTGTTAGGAGTCTAAGTAAGACTAAACTTGTATTGCCGTATCAATGGCTAAACATTACGTTCCTCGCAATAAGATCGAATTCATCGACGTCTGGTTCATCCTCTTCCGATTCTGATTCAGATTCCGACTCCCGGAGTAAAAATACTAATGTAATTATTTTGTTTTTGTAACAAATACCTTTAACGAATGTGTCTCATCGACGTTGTCATATTTCTGTTTAGGAGAAATCCAAGGACTTGGATTACTTACGAGGTGCACAGATGGCACGGAAGAGAAGACAAATAGGTAAGAATAATGTATCAATTCATTTTCGAATCGTTTAACCTGCAATTTAATTTAAAACTTTCCATTTAATAAATAAATTTTTTTATCACAGAGAAACAAGTAGTGGAAGCAGCACAGGTTCTAAATGAGTCGCCGGAATGTGATAAGGAGAAAATTTTATCAACGTTATTGAGCAGAATTTCTGAAATTAAAAATGAGAATAAAGGGTTTGTTCCCCGCTTTATAATTTGCTTTTATTTCTTTATATTAACATCGCATAACTTGTGTATTGTTTACAGCAACGCAGATCAAAGGGAAAGTAAACGCAACGAAGGAAGGAGTGGGAGGAAATTTATTAAGAAAGAATTTCAAGAGACACTAATAAGCGATAAACGTAAACCGAGGTATGATACGTCTACGGAACCATCTATAATCCAAATGTTGAAAAGTCAAGAGGAGAGATTAAAGAGCGAGAAGATTGAGAAACCACGAAAGATGGTAGACGAATCACCCGTAATCAGGATGTTGAAAAATCAACAAAGAAAAGGAAAAAGTGTGGTCGAAACGATTGAAACGAATGTGTCCGAAAAGATTGGAAGGAAACAGGAGACATCGAAGGAACCATCTATAATTCACATGTTGAGAAATCAGCAGAGGAACAAGAGGTCTAGTCAAAATTACGATCGTACTGAAACTAACGAAACACCAGAAGAATTATCTGTAATCAGGAGGAAGAAAAGAAATTTTGATGATCGGTCGAATCAAACCTATGAAGCGACCGGAGACAGAACTGTTAATAAGAAATACTGGGCGTCTGACGAACCGTCTATAATTAACATGTTAATAAGTCAGGATCGATCGAAAAAGGGATACGAAATACCGAGGGAAGAAATGAATATGAAACTGGATTTTCTGAGCAGATTACTAAGTCCTGACTACGGCACAAGGTTGTAAACTTCATTAGTGAAAATCCAAACGTTTTTCAGTATGATAACGTTCATAAAATTATTACAGGAAAGAAGATACGGGATTCAGTGATATATTTGTTAGCGAGTTTAAGGAAAATCCTGATACTCCTGCGCTTACAGTATGGAATATGTGCGAGCAGAGGGAATTGGAATCCATGGTAAAATTTTATCCTCGAAATGCGCTTCAAGAAATGATCAATTGGACGAACGAGGGAAAGTTATGGCGTTTTCCTATAGACAATGAACAAGGTAAGGATAAGAAGATACGAACTTGATAATATTTTACGTACAATTCCACGTTTTTAATCATGATTCATATAATTCTTTCACGATACAGGAATGGAAACGGAGCAAAGAGTGCATTTTTCGAAGCATGTGTTTCTGGAACGTCATCTGTCACCGTGGTGTCCTACGAAAGGCCCGATTCGGCATTTTATGGAATTGGTATGTTGCGGACTTTCGAAGAACCCATATTTGACGATCACGGAGAAACGCAATCATATAATGTGGTACAAAGATTATTTCAACGATAAACAAGATTTGTTAGATAAATTAGGGCTTGTAGAATAAAAAGGTAGAAAGACCAACTAAAGTGTATCGACTGTTCTTAAGAAATAAAAATGTAATAAAAAAGTAATCTTGTAAGTAATTAGTGTTCGACATTATTGCAAATACAGTGAACTCAATATGCACGTTCCAAGATATTGGAGCCAAGCGAGTTCGCGGTCGTGAACGCTAAATGCATGATCGCTTGAGCATGCGTACGTTCGAAGTGAGACATGCGTAAAGGGGATCGTACCCACGTGAGATCACGTTGCGAAGCGCCATCGTTTAAGGCGGGGCAAACAACGGAAACTCTAAAGTCATATGATCGATTTGTGATTCTTTCAGCAGAATCGAATACAACAGCTGCCTCTGTTCATCGCAAAGATGGCTAGTCAGACGCAAGGTATTCAACAGCTTCTGACTGCCGAGAAGAGAGCCGCCGAAAAGGTAGCCGAGGCTAGAAAGCGTGAGTTACCATTTGGAATATAATTTAACACGGGACCAATCAACCAGTCAAAGCGAATGCTTTCCGCTAAATTTCTTGCGTTGACCCTGACTTCAAGTGGGTGTAACCTTTTAAATGCACCTAGAATTGACGTTGCCTGTATTAAAATTTCGTTCGTCGCTTCGGTTATTCGTGGAATTCCACACGGCGAATCGTGGCGAATAAAGTTGGGCAAATGTAAATGTTAGAATTTCAATCGGTTTTCTTTCCCAGAAATTGACTAACCTTTCGAGATCGAGCAGTATAATAATCGGAAGAAATAGTTTCGACTTTTCGTCATTAACATTTCTCAAGTATAAAAGCGATTTTACTCGTAGGTAAAGCACGTAGGTTGAAACAAGCGAAGGAGGAAGCTCAAGATGAAATCGAGAAATATAGGCAAGAGCGGGAAAGACAGTTCCGTGAATTCGAAGCCAAGGTGAACGATCATTTTACGCTCTCGTAACGAAACCAAATATTACGTGTAACATTGCACTTTTTTATCTTTTCCTAGCATATGGGATCGAAGGAAGATGTAGCTGCACGTATAGAAGGTGATACCAAATTGAAAACGGAAGAAATGAATCAAGCTGTAATTAAGCACAAAGATAGTGTAAGTAGATGTGACGTGTGAGGAAGAACTTGATTCTGTTCAAGTATTGCTATTTGCACTGTTTATGTTACAGGTTGTGCTCACAATCTTGGATTTGGTGTATGACATCAAACCGGAGTTGCATAAGAATTACCGTCATGAAATTTAAGTCGGAGGCGTATCGATTAATTATAAATATCGCATCGTATCCTATAAATGTACATTAAGTATTTTCTTTAATCGTATCTTGAAAACGTATCTATCGCCGTTATGTTGTATCTTTATTCGAAAATATTTACTACAACTTTTAACCGTAGATGGTGGTATCTAATTACTAGATCTTTTTCCGCAGTTGCTACACGACAATAAATGTAATCGTACCTATGCCGAGCTTTTACCACCACATTGGATAGTTTAAAGATTAATTGTAGTTGCGATCACGGGCTTAGTTTACGCTTGTTAGAAAAAGAAAACGGAACGATCGTCATTGTAATATATCAAGGCCTAGATATATTAGAATGACGGATAAACGTTAAAGCTTAGGTGGTGGCAAACAATTGTACATGGTTAGATGTACATGTATATCGTTAGATGTCATTCCACGATTCTGCTACATCGAGGACGCGAAAATGATGCACTCCGAGAGATAAAACGTTGTACAGCCTCTATAGAATCACGGACAAGCTCCCAATGTAACGTGGTTCTTGCGACGATGTACATAATATTTACCGATTATTTGTTTTGTTTGAGAGATTTAAGATTTGTCGAGTCATAGAAATGAAAGTTATACTTCACGCGTATCCTGTCAGCTGGTTAATCTGTACAGTATCAATGTTCAAGAATAAAAATGTAAAATCTAACGAATTCTATCTTTAGTCTCTTTCAATGTTTTTTCCCCGAGTCGTGGCGTAAAAGCAATAACGCCTTGTCGATGAATCTTTTAAGAAGTACGTAACATAATCTCTTAATTACTATTACGTAAAACTGTGTGTAGTTTTTCAATAACACTCAGTTCTATCATGTACGAGTTATTTGAACTTAATTTTAAGTCACTGCTACTGTAATTTAATGAAAAATTATCTTTTCTCACACTTACCTGATAAATAAGTTACATTTCGGATGTATCTTATCGCTACTCAAATTATTTTATTACGCGTCGTAGGACTAACCGATAAAACGATTACATGTTTTGTAAATAATAAACACATCGCTTTCCTACGGTGGACTTTTGCGTAGATTGAAAAGTAGGATAAAATTGCGCTCTCCTCTTTCGAAGATAGCGAATTAAGTAATACCGCTAGATGGCCTTGGCAAAACACTTGATGGATCCAAAGCAGTCGAAAGTATTTTCCTCGGGGAGGTTGCTATAATTCTTTTATACAAAGAGAAGGAAAAACGTTGATTATAGTCGCGGATAACGACTTTATTATTGGACATACGACTACATACACACTCCATTTTTTCACACTGTTATGTCTGCTTCTCGTCACAGCTTATCCGAGACGTGTAATTGGTCGGATATCGAAGAAAGCGTTACAAAACAAGTGGGGGGAGAATCAGCTGTGTAATCCTAACCTTACCTAGAGATTTCGGTTTACGGCCAGGCAGCGGTCGACAGGATTCGATACGTTGTGATACGCGTGTGTGACGCGCGTTCCGAACACTAGCGCCATTTTCTAGTGTACCGAGGTGGCGATTCGATTTCGCGAACTAATGCTAGCAGAGCGCGGAGGAGGAGCGGTCAGTGTCAGTAGTCGGCGGTACTGAGTGGTGCCATTCTTCACCAAGAAATGGAAGCTGACGAGACGCGTTCGAGCGATACGAGCGCAAGCACGTTGCTGGTGTACGAGGAACTCGTCTACGAGGACGCGGTGACAGTTGTGCACGGTGCGTGCGCGTTTTAAGGTCTGTTATGATTTAGAACGCGCAGAGCGAGGCCGGTCGTCGACCAGCTGCGAAACCGGAGAGGAGTTCGTCGTAGATGCGAGTGTCGAATTATTTCGCGAATTGTGTGCGTTTCGGTTTGTCACGCCTAGTTACCGGGTCTGCGAGCATCATCCGCGAAGCAGAAGGTGAATTGTGTGCGCGAACCTCTCTGGATACGAGCCTGACAAGATGTGGTGCCTCGTCAGTCAAGCTAATTCCGTCATCCTCGAGGTGCAGGTCGACCCTAAGGCCATTGGGCAGGAGTGTCTCGAAAAGGTGAGTCGTCGCATCGCTATTCTGGCTCGTCTCTTAGCGCTTATCGTTCAACAAAGAAACAGACACCGCGACGACCGTTTACTTGAATCTACTACCTGTACCTACCATTCTAGCACTGACCTACAGTGTTAGTACTTTACCAAAAGTCTCGCTTTTAATTTACGCGGTGCAGGTTTCTTTTGTTTACGATTCAATTCAATTAGAAAGTTTCAATATTGACCAACATTTAGCGCATCGTATACTTAAGTACTGATTTTTATCCGTTGTCTTCTAAGAGACTGTGAAGCTAAACTTGCACGCTGTAATTTCTCTAGTAAGTAAACAATGACCGAGCGAAACATAATCGCACATGTATATGTATTTACATATTTATAGCATTGATGAATTATTATTCGACAAGGTTGCGTCTATCGAAAACGTATCTGTATAAGGTTCATTTTATAGATTCGATTTAGAGTTGAGAGTTATTTCTTATCGATTCGCCTGGTGTATGCGGACGAAAGCAAAAGGTGTCAGATTTGGCAAACGTATCCTCGAAGGAAAACGGTGTGGATGGTGTCCCGCGGTTGGTTCGTAACTCACGTGCGCAACAGATGCCACAAAAACGTTGAGTTATCCATGTTACTGCACACTGTACAAGCTACGGTTCGAAATTTGAAGATCGTATCATCTGCTAGACATTTCAGCGTCGGTCCACTCGACCAGGAAACGTTGCTAGGACATCGAGACGATCGTGTATTTAATTTATTCCCGACCTGGGACGACCTCGTGGCAACTTATACGCGTCTCGCTTCTTCTTCGGGGTTTGATTTCTATTTATAGATCACGGCACGCATCGGTCGCGCGTACGTGTACGAGTGTAAGCGGACCGGACTCCCTTCACCTTCCCTTTGTTCTTCGCTCGGATGAAGTGAAACCAGCCGATTCGCGAAAGCTTAGTTAAATTAGTTGATGTTTCGCGAACGAGCTACGGAAGACGGTCGTCGTCGCGAAAGAAGTTCGCTCGCGCGAAAATTACATCGTATTTAACAAACCGTATCGATCGCATCCAAACATCTTTGATGCGCGCCGCCGTGTGTATCTTTGAAACGCGCGTCGCGAACCAAAGCGGCTGCTGCTGTTCTGTGGAAACGAGACTCAGGGTAGCTAGTCTTCCAGTAGCATGTTTACCTCTAATATCAATCCGTGCGGAGCACTCGACGATGATTACGGTGCAACCAAGTGGGTCAAAGCCTAACTGGGTCACAATTTCACCGAGCTCCCCACGTTATTAGGTGCCTAGCGCGCGTTCCCGACGAAATACGTACGGGTATTTTAAAAACGATCATCAAACGAGTTACGATTATCGCGTTCAACGCCTCACGATTAAAAGTCATCCATCCGCTTCGAATAACGTATACCCCCCATACATCCTCGTTGCTACTTTTACCTATCTACTTAATTTCGTTCGGCGAAAATCGCGTTAATTTACTCGCGAATCGCGGACGTGTACAGCTACTCAAAACGATTCCCGATCCATTTTGCATGCACATTTTGAATGGGACGGTAATCGTTTTGAGCAGCTGATATGCGCGCGACTAGCCGTGAAAAACTACTCTTACCAGTCTCAGTTTTCCGAGGTGAGAAAGCTTCGTGAAATTAGGTCAATCCTAAAATTCGATATACCCCGATGCCGATCCGATCGGCCACGGCTCGCAGGCATTTTCGTTCATCGAATTTACTTCCGTCACGGTTCTGTCACGCGTTTTTCTTTTTGCAAGCTACATAGAACGGAAGACAGAAGTAGAGAAGCTCGTTTCGCTTCGGTACGTTATGCATACGTAAAATGTATCGAAGTTCGTACACATCGTTTCGTTCGTTTGTTTTACGATGACACGATACGCGTTCAAAGTACTAAAAACGGAAAGTACGTTGGAAAGCATGCATGACTAATTGGGAGTGGACACCCATGTTGTATGGTTGCCACTTTGCCAGCCTTGTAAACAATGTTTGCATTGGTGGAGTTAATCTGAGGAATTACATGTTGAATTATTTATGAAACTAAAATAACAAAAATGAATTTGTGTTTGTAAGAAAATGTACTCCTGTCACAGTATGTTTTTCTTACAAGGCTACTAGAGGCCTTGGTCGTAAATTACTATGCTTGGTAGGGGTCGGTTTTCTAAGATAAGGCCCGAAACGTTTTTAAGTGGAGGTAGATCCTTATTCATTGCGAGCCACTTCGGATTTTGTTGCGTTGAGACATCCTTCCAAGTCGTGTGAAGTAAAATTATTTCAAAGTTATAAAATACCTTCTTTTATTTAACCCACTAACTAATATTACATGTCTTATTATTACTCATAAACTTATGGAATATGG